GCGAGGCGCGCGGCTGGCGCCGCGCGCGCGGCGCGCTGGAGCACCTGGCGCGTGGCGCACCGCTGCCGGGCGCGGCGGCGGGCGGGCTGCCGGGGATGAAGGGGGCCGCCTTGCACGCCGTGGAGGTCCTCGACCTGCACGTGGCCTGACGCTGGCGGAAGGTGGCCAGGGGATGCTTCAGTCCATCTCGACGATCCTTTAACACCCCCTCCTTCCCCCCACCCCACCCTTCCCCCTCTACTCTCTCCTGACCCTGTGCCGTCATCGATGTAGTATTACAGATTGAAATGGTTTTGAGCGTCACGTATGGGAAGTGGGTGTGGAGCAGGGTCAGGCCTCAGTCCTGGGCAGACACCTTGATGGTCAGGCCGGGGCCGGAGGGGGCGGCGCCGGCGGGCAGCGAGCCCCGCTCCTCGGCGCCGTCATGCTTGCCCTCGCCGCTGCCGTCCTTCTGGGCCTGCATGGCCTTCCGCTTAATGACCTGGCGCGGTGGAGGACGGGGGTGGTGAAAGGGGTGGGGAGGAGGATGTTCTAAGCAGCGCTATGCCGTGCTCCAACCGAGCCCGCCGCAGGAAACGGCTTACGATGCCTGGCCAGCCCCAGGGAAAACCACGCGGTATGCTCCGAGCCTCACACAGCGTGCGCAGGGACAAACCCGGCGCGACCATGGCTCCAGATGCGCTGCCCACGACGGCTAGTCTTCCTATCTCCTCGAGACCCACTCTTCTCCTGCCCCATAACCCCCTCTCTAGTGCCCCCATGTCTCCTTCACCTCCCCACCAAGTTCCCACCCAACTAATATCAACCCCCCCCCTCCCTTCCCTTCCCCCACAACACACATGAACAGGAGCACTGCCACTCCCCCTTGGTTGCCCCAACCCACCTGCAGCTTCTGGAAATTGTAGACGGCGACGCCCGCCACGCAAAAGGCGTAGCCCACCAGGTTGAGCACCGTGACGGGGGCGTGGAAGAGGTGGAAGGAGAAGAAGATGAGCATCCAGTCCTTGATCACGCCCGCGATGTTCATGGTCAGCGCGGAGGTCTTGCCGATCAGCAGGAAGACGGCGAGGTTGAGGGCAAAGGCGGTGAGCGCGTTGGCCAGCAGGACGGTAGGGTAGATGACGGGCGGGGACTGGAGGAGGGAGGAGTACTCCACCAGGGCAAAGGGCACCAGCAGGCAGAGCAGGCAGGCGGGGGAGACGTAGTACAGGCTCTGCAGCGGGTTCATGGCCAGGCCCTTGGAGTTCATCAGGATTTGGACCAGGGTCAGGCGGGCAGCCTGAGACGGGTGTGGATTGGAGGGTGGGAGGGGAGGCAAGTCACTCGAGGGGTGGTGGCTGGGTGAGGGGCGAGCTGCGAAGGCCGAGGTGCACTGTCAGCTGGGCCAGTGCGGGCCACGCCTGGCATCCTCGACGGCGCCAACTAGCGGCTGGGAAGAAACCCCAGGCATGCGCTGGGGCTGCATGTGGACAGCCGCGGGCCCCCTTCCGCCACTCAAAATCCCTGGCCAGCTTTGGCACGCCGGGGTCGCATGGAATGGCAGAGACCCGTTCTGAATGGTTGATCACGCCCTCCCCCCC